CATAATACGTATGCACATATATTTAAGAAATATTTTGATAAAACATATCAAAATGATTTTTGAACAAAATTATATTTGAATATATCTTCTATATATATTTTTGTTTACATTTGGATACATACAAGCGTTTACAAACGGAAGTGTAAAAGTTTAGTTAGAGCGGTACTTCCTAAATTTAAAAGTTTGTATTAAAAGTTACTAGAGAACTGAAAATTAGGAAACATTATCCACTAACTACATATATTTGTTTTCAATTGTGTATTGAATTTTTCTCTTTTACAGTTCTTATTTATTCTTTTTCATAGTGTCTTGACTTTGCGTGTACAGGGTGGGCCATTTAAAATTTGGAATTTAATTTGGCTCTAAAAAAAAAACGCAAATGAATATTTTTCAAAGTTTATGGCTTTATTGGAAAGGTAATACATTGCCATTAAACATGAAATACAATTTCATTCAAATGACTTCCATGGCTGGCTGTACAATACCCCATTTTATCAACCCAATTTTTCAGTACATTTTCCACTGTATGGGCGTATTTCATCGATGGCAACTTTGATTTTATGTTTTAATTCTTGAATCGTTTCTGGTTAACGTTTAGCGTAACACTCATCCTTGATGGTTCCCCATAAAAAATAGTCCAGCGGAGTCAAATCACAGCTGCAAGACGGCCAATTGACATCAGCATTTCGGCTGATTATGCGAATTTCTTACAGTTTGGGTTGAAGACTCCACTTTGGAAGTAAGTTTTCAATATTTCCCAATTTTATTCAAGCGTATAGCAACCCATTTAAATGTCAAACAAAAAACTAAATTTCTGATACGTCATAAATGTTATTACGTCTTTCAAACTCAAAATAACCGGTAATTGAAATTTCAAACGCTAAGTGGCCACCCTGTACAGAATCGTATATCGATAATTAAAGTTTTGCATTTGTTGCGATGGAAAATGTGTCAGAGCTGTTTAGCGAGCTTCGGGGGGTAGTAGAAATAAATAATCAATTGGGGGGATAATAAGATCATTTTGCTAATCAATTCTTTTGATTGTTTCCGCGAGCAGAACTTCTTCAAGGATTTTCCTTCTTGGAATACATTCGATTTTATCACGGTGATCGGCAGCATCGTGGACGTCTTCATGACCGAGTTCTTGGTATGTAAAACACCGGAATGTAGCAGAAAAAAAGAGTATAAGTGTGTTAATTGCGTTTTAGTTACTAAAATCCGTAATAGAAATCTTCCAGGTATATACATATAATCGGGAATCTTCTTTGGAAAACTCAAAGCTATGTTGTGATTATGTCAGTTGCTCTGATGAAAAGTCATTCGGATGAAGTCGCGTCAAATGTCAAAATTGATCTTTTATGTTGATGCAAATGATGATTGTATCATAAATTAGATGAGAAACTACATTTTGATGTAGGACAAGTATAATACTAATTGTGTAAAATTTACATAAAGAAAATATTATTATAATAAATGTTTAATTATTTTCAAAATTGTACAATTACAATATATGTTGAGACTTAATTATTGAAGATTAAAAGTTTAAAATTGAAGATTTATGCATGTAAAGAACTTCAAATTATATATATTTTTTATTTTAAAGAAATATATTATTATTATTTATCGTAAAATTTTAGGTCGAGACTTTTTATTTATATCAGATCACCGCGACTGTTTCAACATGCTATTATATATATTAATTCTCATGTTTGAGAATTTGTTGGAATATCACTTTTTGTTGGAACATGCATCTATAATAGTGGCCTTTAATCATCGCGGCAATGTTGCTTGATGTGTACCTTTGTCTTTCGTTACCTTTTTTGTTGCTTACTTAGATTCGCCGAGCAAAATCCGTGTGACGAATTAGCAGGTAAATTATGAAATATCTCGAACACCTTTGTATATATTACCTTTTAGCTTCGTGCTACATTTATACGCTACATACATCACACTATATATCGCTACATTTGCATAGTATACATTTACGCAATTATATAATAAACCGCTACATGTACATAAATAGGAACATGTTCCTGATACCAATCCTTTCCATTTTTCGTATTAGAAAATTTCTTTCTACATATGATTGATATTCTATGACTTAGATTAACCAATACCAGCTGTAGTTTGAAGGTAGAAAAGGAAATATACTATATAGAATATTGTATAGAGTATTGCTCGAAATATTTCTTCCAATCACATAGTGATGTTGATTATTTCGGTTCTACTAATGTAGCGATTACAATTTAGCTGGTAATATATGTAGGATATGAATAATATTAAATTTCAAATCTCACAAGGGGGAGAGCTAAATAGTGTACCCAGGGATTTTATGTTTTATGTTATGATACTTATGTTTTAGTACTTACTCTTCGTTAATTCGAGCAAGCGAAACAACGAAATATTTAAATATTCCCAAGAAATTTGCATCAAAAAGTTTTCGTGCGCTTTTTTAATGTAAATTTTTACGTAATGCATTAAATGAATAATTAAGCAATGCATGTAAAAAATGTTATAACTGTATAATTATTTCAATATACGAGAGCAAGTCAATAAGTTCTTAGAAAATCTGTCAGAGGACACTTGCAGTGTCATGTCACATTACTTTTTGACAAGTAGCATCTCTCAGCTGATTACTCAAATTTTGAGTGGAATTCATCGCGTGATTTCATTTCTATAGACGATTAAAGCGAACAACCTTTGTATTTTTTGCAAAATGGAAAAAACGAATTTCGTGCAGTGATCAAACTACATATGAAAGGTTTAACGCCGAAAGAAATCAAAATCGAGTTGGATAATGTTCATAGCACATCTGCACCAGCGTTTGCGACTGTATACAATTGGGTGAATTTAAACGTGGCGTACATATGTGATGTATCTCGTTCGGGACGTCCAATTGAGGCTGCTATGCCAGAAATCATCGATAAAATTCAGGACATTGTTTTGACTGATCGACGAATGAAAGTGCGTGAGCTTATTGAGGCCACATATCACATGGCACAGTAATTTCAATTTTGCACGAACAATTAGATATGAAAAAGCTATCGGCAAGATGGGTGCCGCGTTCGCTCACTATGAATCATAAGCGCGATTGTGTGACGATTTCAAAACAATGTTTGAAGATGTTTCAACATAATCCAGATGAATTTCTGCGTCGATTCATTACTGTGGACGAAACATGGATCCATTATTTCACACTCAAGACGAAGGAAACAGTCAAAACAATGGACTTCACCGGGTAAACCAGTTCCGAAGAAGACGAAGACCGAAAAGGTGATGGCCATTTTTGGGATGGTATAATTTATATCGATTACTTTCCGTCGAAGCAAACGATCAATGGCGATTACTACACAGTCTTATTGGATCGTTCCAATAATATTTTAAAGAAAAAATGTCTTCATTTCGCAAAGAAGAAAGTGCTCTTTCATCAAGACAATGCATGGGTTCACACGTGCCCAGCACCGATGGCAAATTCAACGAATTCCGCTACGAATTGCTTCCCCATTCAGCATATTCGCCAGATTTAGTCCCCTGCGACTATTTCCTGTTTCCAAACCTAAAGAAATGGTTCGGAGAAAAGAGATTCACCACCAGAAAGCAGCTCATCGCCGAAACAGAGGCTTATTTTGAAGAGTTGGACAAATCATATTATTCGGACGGCTTGAAAAAATTAGAGAATCGTTGGATCAAATGTATCGAGCTGAAAGGAGACCATGTTGAGAAGTAAAAATGAATCGATCAAAAAAAATGTGTTTTACTAAAACTATGTTTTTCTAAAAACTTATTGACTTATCCTCGTATATTTTAACACCTGTCACCATACGAATAATATCGATTCGTAATACAATTTAATTAAAATTCATCCTTTTTTGCATTCTTTTATAATACAAATTGTAAACACTTGAATATTGCTTGAATATGTGTGACATATTTCAGTACATATCATCACTAATTCATGGACACTTATCCATGAATTAGTGATGATATGTACTGAAATATAATAATAATATAATAATAATAACTAAAGGTGAAATTTATGTGTACATTACCTATTCCTCCTCTTGTTAGAGAAATATTCAATATAAATATGTGTCAAAATCTGTATATATTTGCCTGCGCTTGTAAAATATCTTTTTATAAAAATATGTCTTTATTAGGTAAGAAAATAGCTAAAATTATTAATTATTATAGTGAAGTGAGTATTGGTCCTGATATTAAATTGAACTTATGAAGTTACTCATCACCAGTGTTGATTGCCAATATTATTTCATTAGTATTTCTGTTTTCATTGTAATTACCAAAAGTTGAATAATCAGAAGCTCAATATTGGGGATGGAATAATCTCGCAATCTCACATATTTCTGTAATGAAACCGAGCGTGCCCAATGGTGGTCAGCTAGGCGAAAAGAAGGTATAAAATTACTATTCAGTTTTTATGTTGACAACATAAGTTGGAAGAAATTACGATATTGCAAATACAAAACTAGTATTAAATATCACAACTCTCTAAGTTTCTATGTAGAAATCCGAAGTAAGTTCTTTATAGCTTCTGTTTCCGATTATAAGTTTTTTTATAATTCCTATTTCCAAAAAATCTGTAATTATTATTTCAGATATAGATATTTTTATATATTATCGTTTTTGAATATCTATATTAACAATTATGGTAAAATGGTGATCATGATTTCATTTGTGATTATTTGCAAGAGGAGGAAACTGGATTTTGAAACTAGTATTTTCTCGAGACCTAAATCATTTTTAGATTAAATTATTTTTATCCCGTTTATTTATCCTGTACTTTTCAGAACACATAAACTATTCGTACATTACACTAACAGTCTTGAACATTTTACAACACTGATACTACAAATCCAAACAGTTATCATCCTATGTAATTATATTACCTAACAGTATTTTAAAGGCATATGGATGTGTTTAATCTATCTCAATTTCAACTTATTAATTGTCTTTGTAACATAATCACACAATCGAGGACATGATTCAATCGTTACAGTAAAAGGGTTAATTAAATTTAAATATGTAATTGCGTTACATTTCAATAGTTAAAATAGTTCAATTATTATAGCAACAGTAAAACACGATTCTTCATTAAAATAATTAAACTCGAAAATTATCAATACATTAATTTAGAATTAGTTTACTTAAATTTGTATTGATAAAAAAATTAATAAAATAAGTAAATCATGAACGCATCAATTTAGAATTAGTTTATTTAAATTTGTATTTATATATGAATTAAATATATAAAGATTGAAGATTAAATCTGTGTAGAACGGATAAAATTCGTGTAAATAAAAGATTTTTATAAAAAAAAGAAGGAAATACACACACGAAGCTCCGTTCTGGCACGCAATAAGGAGTCGGCATTTTGTGGAATTAAGTGCAATTTCCTTTGTCCCCTGCAGAAGATCTCCAAGATCAACTTAAACTTTCTGAGGCTCTTTCGCACCGCCAGACTGCTCAAACTATTAAAACAGGGGTACACGATACTCCGGACCTTCGTACAATCCTTTAAAGTAAGCATGTCTTGTTAAATTAAATTCTAATTTTTTAATTATTTTGTATCCCTTTAATTCATACATGTCAACAGTTATTATTTTTTATCTTTCAATATCCTTGATCGTTAAATTTTGCTTCTTTCATCATTAACTTCAAGAATTAATTATCGAGATAACAATAATCAAAACCTATTTTTTTCCAGACTCTGCCTTACGTTTGTCTCCTCATAGCAATGCTGTTCTTCATCTACGCTATCATCGGTATGCAGGTATGAATCCTCTTTCGTAGCTTCGATTTCTTACGAAGTTCCTATGATTTTTAATTTGCCTTTTAAATGTATTTTTGGGAGATGATGTGCAGAAGGATGTAGGATTGAAGTAATATGATCATTCAAGGAAGATCTAAAAATTTAATAAAATTTCGCAAGATTAAAAATATTATTATATAGACATATATGTAAATTGAACAATATTTATCTTACATTCTACATGAAAGAAATAGATGCGGAATTGTTTGTGTCTTTCACAGAAAAGATTTTCGAATTTTTGTAGGTAATTGATTCTGTACAGAAAAAATAACAGCTTTAATTGATTAAAAAGCATAATTGGCCAAATGATTTTTTAATGATCGATGGCTTATCTATCAAATAAAGAACTATTAGTAGCGAACAACGTCATTTAGATATTTCTCTAAAAACGAGAACCGTGCAATTATCTCAGCTTCGAATCGGATGAGAAACGGTGTGCCAAAGTGATCTTGAAGTAGTTTCTGACACGCGTAACTTTGCAGATTGGGAATTTTAAGTGACAGACAGCAGATTCCCCAGGTAGCCATTAAGTGACCCTGTCTTTGCTGGCATGAAATTGTCCATTTTCAAATCTTTAGCAATATATCGAACAATCAGAAATAGCGATCGATGATCGATCACAACAATTTTCAGTTCTTCTTCGCCGATTTTAAGTTGCTTTTTCGATGAATCGAGCAGCTAGATTGATTGCCGATTCGACGACGAATGAGATGACCTCTGGCCACTTATCGGCTAATCCAATTATCATTTATCTTTTGTACAATAAAAACATTTTCTAAAATAAGCTAACGATTTTAAAAGTAAAAAGATATTTTTTTTTATTTGTTTGCTCAAAATTTATCTTCGTATGTGAGAGGGAAATGATTTTAGCACAGCTGGTTTATCGCGATCTTTTACGATTCGCAGGATAATATAAAAGAATATTATAAAAAAAATCTACGATATCATGGAAGTCTAAAAAGACTTTTGTATCGATCATTATAAAAGAAAAATTGCGTTAAATGTGTTTTTACAACATTTAAATATTTTATGACAAAAGACTTTTTCTATAAAGGAAAATAGTTTTATAGTATGATTGTATATATTGATCACTAGCCATTCTTTTCCCCAAAAAGAATTGTAGATCTCGCACAGTACTGATGGGAAATACCATCGACCGTAGAGTGAAAAGTTGAAAGGAATATATAATAAAAATGTGGTCGTAAAAATACTTTGCTGGCATGAGAATAAGCTGCTCGACATATTAATCTGTTGTGACTCATCCTAATTAGTAACAGTCCTATAGTGCCTGCGTTAAGTTAAAGTCTTGAAGTTTTAATTAAGGTAATGCTTGAGAGAATGAATTTCATAATAAATATTAGTTAGTATATTTTATTTTATTAGTATATTTTATTTTCACACATCACACAAATGTATAATTTTTCATAAACTTACACTTGTTTATAACTGATATGAAATCCGCAAAAACTTAATTATTAAAATATTGTTAAAATAAAATTTTTTAGAAATCAGAATTTTTAGTGATGTAAATTAACATAATTTAATTATTTGTTTTAACAAATTTTGTTTATATCTTAGTTCTCTCGAATATATCGTGTTTTTATTGAAAGAAAAAGTATGAGAAACTGTAATTAGAGAATTGAATTCTATAATATTCATTATACACGCATACACGAAACCGTGATCGAAGCGATACAGAAGTTAAAATTAGTGATCATCTAGCGAGAAAGAAAGCAGAGGACATTCCAACTACTTTTGATATTTTTTTATTATTTAAAAAAAAAAGTATATTTATAGTGACACAAATTTATAATGCCGCTTGTGCCTTTTGGTTGCGGCCCTCTTCTTTCTGTGGGTCTCAGGAATTCGGTACCATCAAGCCGGATGATATCTCTATTACGGAGCACAACAATTTCCAAAGCTTCATACAAAGTCTGATGCTACTTTTTCGGTAAGTAACGCCACGCAAGAGGAATTTAGCTAACTATTTAGTCATTGAATTTAACTACGTGACTATCAGCGCGATTTGCAAAACAATCGAATGAGCTTTCACGCTCAACACCTACGGCAAGCTATCTATCAGCTCACTTATCAGCTCATTTTGTTACGAGCACGATGCAGAAAACAAGTTTCTTCAGATTATAATGCGAAAGCAGATTGATCTTTGACGTCTAAGTGACGAGGAATTAATTGAATCACTTATGTGTCATTAGATGTATCGTAAATATTGCACAAGTTGATTGCATTGATTTATTTTGTCTGAGTTGTGAAAAAATTTCAAAGATTTTAATTTCTTTTAGATATTTTTACTACAGCACCCAAAGAGATTTATAATGATTTAATTATATCAAAATTATATCAAAATTTTCAAAAAATATTCAAATATTTTATTAAAATTACATTTAAATTAAAATATTAGTATTATAATATATCCTGTCTAAAAATATTAAACCATTTTTTATTGGGAGTGTGTATTAATTTTAAGAGATTTTTTTGTAAAAATACGGTTTTATTGTGAAAAAATGGTTACAAATTGATCATTCAAAATATTATCCATCGCTAGCCAATTTTTTTTCCATCTTTCTGATAATAGGTAGATTCTACGTCGAAAGAATGACACATCCTTTAAGGCTATCCATGAATCGACCCATTTTTTGGTATCTTCATAAGAATGGAAGTACTGCTCAGATGAATCATCGATCGAAATAAGTGTTAATCGGAAAGAGCAAAATCTGGATAATACGATATAATAAAATATCCCATTTAAGCGCTTCTAACATTTCCTCGGTTTTGCAACATGTGGCCGAGCATCGTGTTGAAAAATCATTTTATTGTGTTTTTTTGCGTAATCTGGCCGTTTTTATTTCAATGCTCGACTCAATTGCATCAATTGTTGTGAGTAGCGTTCCCCAGTGATGGATTCGTTGAGTTGGAGCAGCTCATAATACACTACATAATACCAACTGATCTCACCAAATACAGAGCATGAGTTTGGCGTCATATTCGGTTTTGCCGTCGATGTTGAGGTTCACCTATCCTGCATCATGATTTTTTACGCTTCGGATTATCGTAGCGTATCCATTTTTCATCATCCGTCACGATACGATGTAAAAAATTTTTTCTTTTATGTCTATGAAGCAACAATTCACAAGTTATTTTGCGCCTTTTGACATCCCTCGGCTTCAACTTGGCACCCAATTTCCTTGCTTTTGAATCATTCTAATGGCCTTCAAACATCTAGAAATCGTTGATCAATCAATTTAATGATTCTGCAAGTTCTTCTTATATTTATCTCAGGTCTTGATCGAGTAAAGCTTCCACTTCCTCATTTTCAAACTTTTTCGACTGACTTGAATGTTTCTTGTTTTCCATGTCAAAATCACTTTTTTTATATAGCGTCGAAACCAGTACTCATATGTTGAAATCGATAATATTGTATAATCATCATAAGCTTCCGATTAGCATTGACTTTCATTGACTTTCAGCAGCACTTTTCTTCAAATGGAAACAAAAAAGCAAAGATTCCCGCAAATTTCATTTGGTTGGCACAAAATTCAACATATTCAATGCTCAAAAAAACAATATTATTTACATTTCAGCAAAATGACACATACTGAAAAAGTCACATGATGGTGCTTTGAACATGAAGATAGCAACAATATGATTCCCGATGTGATAGTATTAGTTATGCCATCTCCTTTAAAATTAATGCACACTCCCAATAAATGTGTTATTCTCACGTTGAATGTCTCAAAGTCGTGAAGTCTTCTAATTATTCAATTCGTATTATTTACGGATGTATGTTCACAACAGGCCATTTCGCTTCGATCCAACTATGTTTTACTATAAAGTTCACAGTACTAAATTGAGCACAAAAGCAAAATCAGGCTATACGACATGACATATTCAGAGCAAAGACAGAAAACAAAATAATACACAGCAGTCTCGTGTAGAATTGAGTTCGCTGTATTAAGTTCGCATATCTAGCTCGCCTTTCATGTTGCGTAAAATATTAAACCTTATGCATGCCGCACTTGCAAAGAGACTAGAGCCCAATTACTTGCTTTCCTCAGTCTCGAAGCAAATATATGAAAACATTATCGGTTAAAAAAATTGTATTAGAAAAATTGTTATTAATTCTTAACAACGATTTTGAAACAAATTTTACATTAAAAAATAATTAATAATGATTTTTATTTCTATGTAATTCCTATATGCAAATATGAAATATATATATATA